TCAGCAGGAGTAGGAGCTACAATTACTTACTTACATGCATCAACTAAAAAAGAAATCTTAATCCTTCAACTATTTCTTAGCAAAGGACATTTGTGTTTTGAATATACGTTACAGCAGATAGCACAATAAATTAAAAAAGAAACTTGTATTTCTAATGAGGTAAATTGTAGTACACTAGGGTCATATAGTTAGCTGCACATCTTTAAAATGACCTGAGTGGAAAAAGTACCTTCCAGTTTTGAATGATGAGCATTTTTATAGTAGTGAGAAATTACAAATAAAAAAGCTGACAACTTCAAACAAATGCAAAAATTTAGCTTCAAACAAGTACAACTGATAGCTTTGCTTTCTTGAATGCAACATTAGAAAATATGTATACTGGTATTTGAATGGCACCCTGATCAGTGATTTGACAAAGGGAGATCACATTTTGGGGGACTGATCTGATAAAAAAATAGTCTTAGAGGAATTTTCTCTTGTGTGCTTAGCAAACGCAGTTCTTTTGTACCATCTAAACACTGTTCCCAGTATTAAACATACCAAGCAACTGTTTGATCATTTAGTTGTTTCTCTTGTTTTGTGCAGCAACATTGCTTCAATACCTTCCAGGACTGAACAAATCAAAATACTGACTGGAGAAGCATATTGTAAGAACTAAGTATGTGGGAACTGGAATGAAAATTTGAACAGCATGTGGAAACAGAACATTATTTGTGAAGTTGAAATCCTAGATCCCAATCCTGGAAAGACTTATACATGTGATTAACTTCACAATTAAGGGGGGGGGGGGGCTATCATTGATTCATTGAAATCAATGGCAAAATTCCCATTGGTTTAAACAAGACCATCATTCAACCCTGAGAATTCTCCCCAGGACTTCAGTGGACTACTCATAGTGTGCATAGTTAAGTAAGCACATGTCTTTGCAGGATCAAGGTCTAAGGGGATGTCTGTACCCAATTAGAGCAGATTACTATCTGTTCTAAGCAGAACCTTACTGATGCATGCACAGTCACAGTAAAATGGCTAAGCCACTTCTTGTTTGGGAGGCAGAGGGTGCAGAACAGTGTATTTCAGAATGGCACTGCCTGGCCCCACAATGTAACAGCATAGACATATCCTAATAGAATGAATTCTGACAGGGATTTATTCCTCTCTTATATGAGACTTATATATTGTAGAACTGACCCTGTAGGCTGAATTAGGTTTATGTATGAACTATTACATGTATAAATTAAATCATTAATTTAGTTCTCTTGACTTTTACAAACTGGGGGGAATTTAGTGTTAGTAAGAGATGCAAAACTTGAAAGGGAGAGGAAGGTCTCTATTATCTTCAGGCCAGACCTTGTTCAGACGATGGAAATCTTTTAGTGTATCTTAACCCCATTCTGGAATAAGTACTTCTATGGGTGAGAGCACAGTTCAGTCTCCATGAGCTGGACTTTCTGTTGATACTGTTAACAAGAACACCAGTACAGAAGCAAGTGGACTGAAACCATTACATTATTTCACAAAGACCATCAAAAGGTACCTTTCAGTCACTAATGCCCTGACTGTGTGACCAAAGGTCCTAACCCTATTTCCATTGAAGCAGCAATGATACTCTAAATTTCAATAGGATCTGGCTGCTTACAGGGAAAGCCTCTGTGATGTGAACCAATTAGTTACTAGGATTTAGTTGCCTGCTGAGTTGTTCTTCTGTGAAATAACCAGATCCAAGAAGGTAGGGACCAGTTCCACTAGGAGCTCTGCATTTTGCAAGAAGAGACAAAAAGGCTCTTGACTTCATTAACATATACATATATTTACAGTTATGCATCTGATTAGTCTCACTTGTTTTCAGTGGAGCTGCTCACATCCATAAGTGCCTGTAAACAGAAATCCTGTTAAGCAAGTGAACTTAAATGAATGTGTACAGTGGATTCAAATCTTATTTGACTTTCACCCTTATACTCACCTCAGATTTAGGAATTAGGGGGATTGAATTACTTTTGGACTGTAATGTGTTTCAAATCCATGCTTTAATTATAAACTCCCTTCCATTTGGATGAGTGGCAACTTCTTTTCAGTCAGTGTGCTAGGGGCGATATCTTTTATTAGACCAACTAGATAATTGCAAAAAAAATATTCTTTATTTGCAAGCTTTCAAAGTATGCGCACCCTTCCTCAGGCATAGGAGAATGCAAAGATTGTAAAATTGCTCCCAGGTAGAAATGAAGATTCATATTTCAAACTCCCCCCTCCCCAAGGTAAATTACAATCACTTGTTTGCTGAACACTCCTCTGACTGTTGCTGTTCATAGCTTTCAGCACCAAATGTTACAACCCTACTGTACTTGCAGGTCACCTAGAATCCATGGCTTTACAATGGTTAAGGATGCAAGGATATGTTAAGAATATATATATTTTTAAATCTTACAGTGGTGTAAGTGCTGTTGTAGCTGTGATGATCCAGAAATGATGTAAAAAGCAAGGATTTTTTAGGGTGATATCTTTTATTGGACCAAATGTCATTGGGATAACGTTTCAAACTTACAAAATTCTTCCTCTGGTCCTTGAAAAGAAATCTTGCAGTCTAAACTAAATCTGTAATAGTTCTTCCCTATCTCTAGCAGAAGACAGGTTTAAAACTAACAAGAGAAAATACTTTTGATGCAGATCATAGTTAACTTGTGGAACTCATTTCCAGAGGAGGTTGTAGAGGCTGATAGTAAAGCCAGGTTAAAAAAAACCAAGACAACCATGGGCTGGCAAGCTTTATAAATCAGCAGGCCAGAACAACCCAGCTGGTTTCTGTGTCTATCAGCTGCAGGGCAGGAGAGGCAGCTGAGAGCTGTGCCCTGGCCACAGTCACTTGTCTCTGGCCCCCATGCCCTGGCTCAGGTGCAAAGGAAACTTTCAGCCAGAGGGGATATGTGCTTAGTGCCTTTGCTGCTTCTTTTCTCCCATTTCCCTCCACCCACCCCTCCCCCCAACTTCAGCACAGGCACAGTTAAAAGCTGCCCAACTTTGACTCAGTTCTCCTCTGGTACCTCTAAACCAATGGTATTCATATTCTCTCCCTCTAAAGCATCCACTGCTGCTGCTGCTGGTGACAGGATACTGGGCTAGATATACCACTGGTCTGACCCAGTATAGAACTTCTTATGCTCTTGGGTCCATACACATAGTAAAAGACATAGTAGAGAGAGCTTAATAGACATAACAAAGGTGGGACAAACATAACATTGCCATTGCACAGAGGGTGAGGTCAAGCACAGAGTAGTTAAGGCCAATTTCCAAAAGTGCACAGCACACATAACTGTTTCCCTCTTTTGTAAAGTTAACTATAACTATTGCAAAGGCAGCTGGTGACTGCAAAACAAGTTGGAAAATGTGGCCCTCTTAAATAGGAATGGAAATCTCTTGAAAAAGCTCAGTTCAAGTGAGAGTTGCCCAAGGATACAGAGAAAGTCTGTGGTCAAGCCAGGAACTGTACTCAAATCTCCTTTGGCCCAATCTAGTGCCTTAACCATGAGTCTCTCCCCTTACTTCTATGCTGAATTTCATAAAGCAAAAGTGATAATGTCATTTCGCATTTCGAAGCAGATTTGCCTACTCATTTTTTGGAGTATATAGTTACTTGTGGAACTTCTGGAACCTGGCCCAAATATGCATGAAAATTAATGGACTCGATCCCGCTGAATTCGGTGGGTATTGGCTCGACCCTTCTAGAGCTAAATTCTGATCTTGAACAAACATACCCAGCTCCATTTGGAATCGCATCGAAAAATATTTGCTCCTTTTTTCCTACCTCCCAGTACATTTTCTGGCTGGATATACTAACTCATGTTTATCAAAATGCCTAGTTCTGTTGTTCTGAAAGTCAATTAATTAAAACTTGATCTCTTTTTCATTCGATTTTAGATCTTCCAATGATACTGCATTTTTATTTTTTTTTTTTAGCAGAAGTGGTACTGTAAATACTTTTTCAGTATGGCAAATGCTGACATCTGCATAAACTCAAAATAGTAACAGATGTTCATATGTGATCTGTTTTAAAATCTTCCAACCTGTATGTGAAAATACTTGCTATTCATTTACTTTCAGAAACGTTTTCTTCCTTTGCTCTCCCCTCCCCCCTGGCCTTTTTTTTTCTTTTTTTTTGCTAACGAGCCCCATGTGCTGTGTTAGTGGAGTCTGAAGCTGCTCAAAGTGATGAGTGTGCAGAATGTGCCAACCTGCAGTCCGTACACCAGCACTCTGCTTTTCCTCCAAAGAATCTTTTCTCGCAAGATGCTCTGCTGCCAAAAGGATGGTAAGATTGCAGCATGACAGGGCTGTTAGAGTTAATGGCCTGTCAGCATTTCCATTATAAATCAGTTTATACTTGGTCGTAAAAATTCGCCTCAGGCCAAAACTTGGCAGACACAGTCCGGTCACAGCCCCAAAACACATTTTACTTTAACATAATTTCTATACCTAAACATCTGCTGACTTGTTTCTTGTACTACAGAACAATTCAACCCCCAATGTCAGCCTTTGGTTGGGAAGGGTCTGTTAGGTAAGGGAAAAGAGCAAGAGGGAGATATTAAGTTTAACTCCCAAATGATTATATTCTATAAAAACTGTGCCTGCTGGATCCTGTCTGTCATCTGAATAAGTTGCTCTTGTATTCTAGAGAAAAAAATTAAAATAAGGCAAGAAAATGAATTTAAAAAATAATCTTTCCTGCCCACATAAATACAATTGCTGTAGAAAATAGAACCTATTTATTAAAATGAAAATGCATGTCCCCTTAGAGTTAGAGACACCAGGGATCTTCTGTTACATGAGTAGAGTGGTCAACCTAGTTCCTATCTGATACCTTGCAACTGTGCAGCTAAAAGCACTTTATAAAGAGACTAATATTGAAATTTTACAAGTGGGGAAACTGATAGAGAAAGGTGAAGAACCTTCCATGTCACTCAGTAGGTCAGTTTCCAAGCTGGGAAAAAA